AACTGCAGTTGTATATGCTTTGGATATATGTGCACATGCACACACACACACACACACACACACACATACACAGACACACACACTAAGAGGTATAGGTGGATCCATATCACATTTTAGGTTTTCAAATCTAGATCCTCTGTACTTCATTTTATGCCTGTATAAGTTAATGCAGTCATCCCTTGGTATTCACAGGAGATTGGCTCCAGGACACACCCCCTCCCAGGACACAAGTCCACAGATGCTCAAGTCCCTTATATAATATGGCATAGTATTTGCATATAACCTACACACATCCCCTCCTATATTTTAACTCACTTCTAGATAATTATACACCTCACAATTTTTTAATCCAGGAAACATTTCCTGTTCAGATGAGATACCTCAGCCTCCAAATAATTTCACAGTGGCAAAGCATGATCCCCTAATGAAGTAGACCATGAGTTCAAAAGAAAATACACTCTCTGGGAGGCCGAGGGCAGGCGGATCATTTGAGCTCAGGAGTTCAAAAGCCAACCTGAGCAAGAGCGAACCCATCTCTGCTATAAATAGAAAGAAATTAATTGGCCAACTAATTATATAGAAAAATTAGCCGGCATGTGGGTGGTGCATGTCCATAGTCCCAGCTACTTAGGAGGCTGAGGCAGGAGGATTGCTTGAGCCCAGGAGATTGAGGTTGCTGTGAGCTAGGCTGATGCCATGGCACTCACTCTAGCCTGGGCAACAAAGCGAGACTCTGTCTCAAAAAAAAAAAAAGAAAAAAGAAAAAAAGAAAATACAAAGGCATGCTTAAAGAAGCATTCAAATAATCATGTGCTTTAGGGAAAAAAAAAAAAAAAAAACAAGACAGCAAACAAACAAATCCAAACACACTAGTCGTCGCTTCAATTTAGGTCCAGGCCAGGTTGGAAAAGAGAAAGTATGATATTTCTCTCCTGTCACAGATTTTGAGTCTATGTAGAGATCCTCACAGCAGGCGTCCTCAAACTGCGGCCCACGGGCCACATGCGGGGCCGCCTAGAACATTTATCCGGCCCTCCAGGTCTTTTTGCCACCACTGCCTGTCCTGCTTAGCAGCCGACTGGTCCTGGGCCCACAGTGCGCAGTCTCCAACAGTCTGAGGGACAGTGAGCTGGCCCCCTGCTTAAAAAGTTTGAGGACCCCTGCCTTACATCATGCCTTAGACTTCTCTCACATCAACCCCACTGAAGCTAGAGTTGCCTCTCTTCCATCACCCTTCCCTAAACCCAGCCTCCCCACCACACAAGGGGGCACCACCAAAGTAATTGACCTTCCAAGCCAGAGACCTTGTAGTCATTTTAATGTATCCTTATCCTCCATGACAGTCTCTTGCCGGACACTCCCACCTTTTCCTCCTAAACCTTCCCTCAGTTATGCTTATGGTCCAGGCCACAGGTTATTTCTTGGCTCATCTGTTTCAACCTCTTCCCTGCTGAAATTCCCAGGTTGTAGACTGAAACTAACATAAGTGGTTTTACACAAAGTTTATTTTTCACTCGTAGATTTTATTAATGGAATTTATTTTCCCAAGAGTCTTTTCCTAAGTAATAGCTACTTACTGCATTAAGGATCAGGCTTGGCCGGGCACGGTGGCTCATGCCTGTAATCCTAGCACTCTGGGAGGCCGAGGCGGGAGGATTGCTTGAGGTCAGGAGTTCGAAACCAGCCTGAGCAAGAGCAAGACCCTGTCTCTACTATAAATAGAAAGAAATTAATTGGCCAACTAATATATATAGAAAATAGCCGGGCATGGTGGCGCATGCTGTAGTCCCAGCTACTCGGAGGCTGAGGCAGCAGGATTGCTTGAGCCCAGGAGTTTGAGGTTGCTGTGAGCTAGGCTGACACCATGGCACTCACTCTAGCCTGGGCAACAAAAGGAGACTCTGTCTCAAAAAAAAAAAAAAAAAAAAAAAGGATCAGGCTTAACTCTCATTTGAAACCTCTTTACTCAAACCACCCTAAACTACCACCTCCCCTCTCTTTTCTCCTCCCATCATCGCCCTACACACCCCTTTTGCTTTCCTCAGGCACCTTAGCTTCATGCTCTATTTGTCTAGTCATCACATGCCCTTTATGGAGTTGTCGCTCATTGATTTGAAGAAATTTTTTTTTTTTTGAGACAGAGTCTCGTTTTGTTGCCAAGGCTAGAGTGAGTGCCGTGGCATCAGCCTAGCTCACAGCAACCTCAAATCCTGGGCTCAAGCAATCCTGCTGCCTCAGCCTCCCAGTAGCTGGGAATACAGGCATGCGCCACCATGCCTGGCTAATTTTTTCTATATATATTAGTTGGCCAATTAATTTCTTTCTATTATAGTAGAGACGGGGTCTTGCTCTTGCTCAGGCTGGTTTTGAACTCCTGACCTCGAGCAATCCGCCCGCCTCAGCCTCCCAGAGTGCTAGGATTACAGGCGTGAGCCACCGCGCCCGGCCCTAAAGAAATTTTTAATAAATCCCATTTTCCTTTTTCCCCAACATGAAATCTAAATCCCCTCTACTTCATTCTATGCCTGTATAAGTTAATACAGTTGTCCCTTGGTACTCACAGGGGATTGGTTCCAGGACCCCACCTCCACCAGAATACCATAATCGATGGATGCTCAAGTCCTTATATAACATAGTATTTGCATATAACCTACACACATCCCCTCCTATATTTTAACTCATCACTGATTACTTATAATAACTAATACAAGTAAATGCTATTTAAAGTTATGCTACATTGTTTTTATTTGTATTACTTTTTATTATTGTTTGTATTTTTTATTTTTTTTTATTTTTTTTCTTCTTACTCATTCTACAATATTTAAGTTCTATTTTTTTCCTTATTACTTTCTTTTTTTATTTTGGCATATTATGGGGTACAGATTTTAAGGTTTCAATAAATGATTGTCTTGTTATTTTTTATTGTTTTTCCCCCAAATATTTTTGATCTCCAGATGTTTAACCCATGGATAGGGAGGGCCAACTGTATATCATTCACTGCACATACCCTCTAAGTACGATTTTAATATACACGTTCTAAAACAAGAGGGCCCGTCCCCTCTCCCATTTTGCTCTGTCTAGAAACTAACACAGTATCTAAAGCATCCAGGGGGACTTTAAATGAGGGCAATAAGAAATAAGAGGGGAAAGAAGGTAGAAGAAAAAGCGGAAGTTGTAAAAGAGCACAGCTACAGAGACCTTCAGAATATTATTATAGAAGTTGACCTTGAGTTCTGTTCAAATTTGGGATGAAAGTTCTCATCTTACTTAAATTCATTTTTGTATTCCTTATCTTATGACACAGTCAATTTCTACAAGTGTGAGGAATTCCTCTAATTCCAGAATGATCAAAAGCATCAATGATTGCCCACAGCTCAATTATCTATTTCCATTATACAAATGCAGGCTTTTCGCATTTTCATCTCAATTTTCAATGATGCTATGTATAAAAAAAGAAAAAAAGTCAAAAAAGCACATCTGCCATGAAATTACAAGAAATATCATATGACCTTTCAGATTCTTTGGGGGATCTAAATTCTAATCAAGAAAAGTCAGGTGAGGCAAAGCCATCCATTGCTCCTACTCAGCATAAGGACACTATATTAGTGTGCTCAGCGCCTTCCTGCACACCTAAAATGGCTCTTTGGCAGGGCTAGGGGCAAAGGAAATCTATTTTGAGTCTTTATATATAAGGCTCACTGTCTGGCTGAGTCCAAAACTGTCACTTTGGCTCCTAAAGTCTAACACTGAAAGCTTACTGAGATAAATATGGACCTTCTCATTCAGGCTGTCAGGAAATGCGTGGATCTATTTTATTTATACCCTTAAAAATGATTTCATTTTGGCTTTCCTTTTTTGAAGAAGTTTCATCCTGGGGCTTAATTTTGCTGACAGCATGCTGTTCCCTAACAAGAAAAACAAAGTGGCTCCATATTAAAAACCAGGTATGAATGTACACACACACAAAATATTGTCCCTGGCATTGCAAAGTCCTGTTCATAAGTCTCCTTGGGTATCTTTAATCAATTCACATGAAAGCTACCTATCCAATGACTGCATTGATAATGTATTTAAATTCATATTCAGTTCTGGCATTTCGAACCCAGTAAGTGAATAGTCACTTGTCTACTTGCTGCTTTGAGATTTGGGTTCCATTGTCTATCTTTTCTTTCATTCTTTTAACTTCACACTCAGGCCTATTGGCCTTGCTAAAAGGACTCAGAAAGGGAGAGGCAGATTGAACCAAGAAAAATAGACCAAGCCACAATAAATCCCTCAACCAAAACAAACAAACTAACAACAAAAACAACAAAAATCCCCAGCAACTCCACAGTGCTGAGATGATCTCTGTCTGACAGCGATATTAATATATTGTTTATATTTATCCCTCCCTGCTGATGCTATCATTTGCCATTCTGAATTTTCCACTGACAGCAGTATTTCTGCTGGTCTTACTTACAGCAATGTTGGCTACTAAAACACAGTTCAGGCTCACACTCATATCAATCATCAGTGAGCCAAGAGCAAGAGACCTGCCAAGAGCAAGGGATTTAGGGTACAGGCCCTAGCCACGGTTGAGCTGCTGAAGTAGAGAGTAAAAAAGCAGCAGTATGACTACCTAGAAATAGAACACAGTGATGATTTGAGCTTATTTATATTGCAGATGGGCCTGTTGTGCACATCAACTCACAAATTCACTGTATCCTCTGAAATCTATTCTTTGGGGTGGGGGTTGCCTCTTACCCAGCAATGTTGTTCTAGCCATGTGTATCTGGTGAACCACTGAGATGTAAATCTCCCATGCTCCCAATAATAGCTTTTGATGTTTTGGTTATGCTAAATCATGTCATGCTGAAATCAGAATGGTTTGTGGTTGACCTTTTACATTTCCTGTTCCTCCAAACTACTTCTCTCTTTGAGAGTTTTTTCCTACCAGGGAATGTCAATCTAGGGTAACCATTACTCTAATATGATCAACAAGATACAAAGAACTGGAGCGACCTTCAGCGCGGTTGGGTCCAAGTTTGAAATATGGCAACTTTGAAAGATATTACCAGGCGACTGAAGTCCATCAAAAACATCCAGAAAATTACCAAGTCTATGAAAATGGTAGCAGCAGCAAAATATGCCCAAGCTGAGAGGGATCTGAAACCAGCTCGAGTGTACGGAACAGGATCTTTGGCTCTTTACAAAAAAGCTGATATTAAGGTGCCTGAAGATAAGAAGAAGCACCTCATCATTGGTGTGTCCTCAGATAGAGGGCTTTGTGGTGCCATCCATTCCTCAGTTGCCAAGCAAATGAAAACTGAGGTGGCTTCGCTCACAGCAGCCGGGAAAGAAGTTATGATTGTTGGAATTGGTGAAAAAATCAGGGGCATACTTTATAGGACTCATTCTGACCAGTTTCTGGTGGCGTTCAAAGAAGTGGGCAGAAAGCCCCCTACTTTTGGAGATGCGTCAGTCATTGCCCTTGAGTTACTAAATTCTGGATATGAGTTTGATGAAGGCTCTATCATCTTTAATCGTTTCAGGTCTGTCATCTCCTATAAGACAGAAGTAAAACCCATCTTCTCTCTTAATACCATTGCAAGTGCTGAGACTATGAGTATCTACGATGATATTGATTCTGATGTGCTGCAAAATTACCAAGAATGCAATCTGGCTAACATCATCTACTACTCTTTGAAGGAGTCTACCACCAGTGAGCAGAGTGCTAGGATGACAGCCATGGACAACGCCAGCAAGAGCGCTTCTGATATGATTGATAAGTTGACTTTGACATTCAACCGCACCCGCCAAGCTGTCATCACGAAAGAGTTGATTGAAATTATCTCTGGTGCTGCAGCTCTAGATTAATGAAAATCAAGTTCCATCCTCAGATAAGAGGTAAAGAAGGAAAATTCAGCCAGCTGATTTGTTTTTAACTTACTGCTGTTTTGTCAGAAGAAGTTGTTGCTCCACTGTTTGAATGAAGACAGCAAGATATTTGTAAATTATCTTACAATAAACAACTTAAAATAAGAAAAAAAAAAAAGATACAAAGAACCCAGCATATCTAGACACTAGCATGGCTGATAGAAAATATGTTATCCTCTTTGTTGCCTAGTCATTTATAAAATATTTGACATGATAAGATCTATGCTCTCTAAACAATTAAGTATGAGATAGAACTTTTTTTTACAAGGACTCAAGAAAGCAAAAATTCTCCATATGCTTTCAGAGACTAAGAACTTCTCTATTTCAAAAGCCAACAGTGGTGACTTTCTCAGAATTAGCCTACCAATTATGCTGAGAGATCTGCAAGGCCCTGATTTCCCAAAGATAGTTGTCTTACTATTAGGATCAAGTTTAGCTGCATATAACTGCAAAATCCCAAAATGACATAACTTAAGCAAGGTAGAAGTAGGTAGTCCAGCTGGTACAGTCAGCTGACTCAGGCACCTATCTTTCTTTTCTACCACGTTCAGTATGTGGTTTTCATTCTCAAAGTCACCTCATGACCTAGGATAATCTAATTGTAACTATCATGCCCACATTCCAGATTGGCATCAGAAAGAAGCTGGATTAGACAAAAGGACACCCCCCCTATTTTTTAGGGAGACTTCTGCTTACATGTCTTAAGCCTGAACTTAGTCACATGGCCAAACATAATTTCAAAATAGTCTTTGTTCTGGGTGCATTATCATCTCAAATGAAATCCAGCTTCTGTCACTGAGGAAGAGGGCAAGAAGACATGCTGCAGGAGGTAATTAGCAATCTTGTCAACATCTAGTAATTTGTCACAGAATCTAGAATCCTTACTATTAAAAAGCCATCCCTTTTGTATTAAATTGCTGTGTCTCAAAATCTCTGTTAAATGCAAATATATTACTTGCAAAGTGGTAAAACATTAACAAATTAAGACCCATCCTCATATGATGATCACAAACCAGTCTATGAGATTAACTTTTTCTCTGAAGAATGAGATCATAAGTAGAGAGAACCAAAAACACTAATTGGAAAGCAAATAAGGGATATTTTAAGGGAAAGCTTCTAGAGTACTCTGTAAAGTCAAGGCATTAGACTGAGCGGTAGGGAGAGAGTGGAAACCAATTTTGCTACTTCACAATTTTGCTGCAGAATGACCCCACATGTCTAGGCTGATACAATGGTATTGAATTGCTACAGTCTGTAGATTATACTCAAAGATAATATACCACAAGGCAAATGACTCCATTTATTATCTTCTGCGATATTTTTATTTGTTTTATTTTTACCAGAAAAAGGAGAAAAGTAGTACTTAGGAGATTGAGAACTGCTTGGAAAAATGAGAGGAAAAAAACTTCCAGATAACTATAGCTCTTGCTCTTGAATCAAAATAGAACACTATTTTGAAGACAAATATGAGGACATGTTTTCCTTTTCAAAAATCTTCATTAGTTTTTAAAGTAAGACCTTTATAAAATGAATATTATTCATCAAAGAGGTTTTGTTTTGACAGACTTAAATTGACTAGAGAAAGTTCATGTTCTACATTATGGGGAATCAAAATATGTCTAGCAGAGCAGAGTAAATTTCACGACACATCATACATAGAGCAGATGTGAGAATCTAAGGCCAGAAAAAACAAGTTCTATTTTACTATCACCCAGGGAAATTTCCCTTTACTTTCAAGTAGCCAATAATCCACACATATTTTTCTAAATCTTCGTTTTTCGCATCATCAGTGGATCCCATCAGTCGTTGCAATGAATATGGCTTTGGAGATATAAAAGGGGGTAACCAATTTATAGACCAATCTCAAGAGCATAAACCTTTATATTGAGAGAAATACAATGACTATTTAGGCCACCAGAGAAAAAATAAAGAAAAAAATTTATTAGTTTGAAACTTGTTCACAGTCTTCAGGCCAACCAACACAAACTGATTCTCCACAGCACATTCATTGTGGGCACTTAATAAATATTAACCAACATTCCCAAGTGTTTTGACCCAGTATTACTTTTAAGCATCTTAAGACTGAAGCCCACTTCAAGTACTAAGGGACTGCTTCACAGAAATTCTACTTGTCTTGATTTTCAGTCCAATTTCCATTAGTATAAAACTTGTCTACATTTTATTAATGAACTAATCCTTCTTTTTGAGTTTATGAAAAGCTGTACAGAAAACACTGAGAAAGGTTTTTATTTGAGGGTCTCAGATATTTTAACTTTGGGGATTTGGAGGAAGGAGAGGTAAATCTGATCTGTGTTTTATCTTTTCCCCAAAGCCTCCAAACCCTTACCCATATAGTTTCTTTTTAGATGATATAATTAAGCAGTCTGTGGAACTGAGAAAAAACACCTCGAACTGCAGAAAATTGAAATTTATGTTTCATCAAGCATTCCAGTATTTCCCTCCAGGTGTCTAATTCCACATGCCAAAGCACGATGTTTTCAAAAATAGAGTAATTCAACATCTCATAATTTTTCTTACACATTTCTCTACATTTCACACCCTATTCCAAAGTGCTCAATTGGAATGCACATCTCTCATGAAAGAAGGGCTCTATTTCATTTCATGGGGTAGCATGTCTAAGAGACTATATTTTTCAGACATAAAAGTTTTAGATGGATTTCATTCTATGTCATCTTTGAAAAATGAGTAATTCCACCATAAGGGTCGCATTCCTACACCACACAGAAGTGGCCCTTGTCTCTAATTAACCAATCAGAAGGAAAAGATTTCCATACTGAAAGAGAGAAAAGACCATCTCAAACTTCTTAGTTATACAAAGCTTAAGATCAATAGACTGACTGTGCTCCCTACTGGTAAAATCTAGAGCTACAGCCAGTATCAAAAATTTACGTGACAAAAGCCTAAGAATTAAAAATTTGTTTACTGTGCCCAGAAACAGCATATCTTGTCACCTGACTTCAAAAATTACAAAACAAGATTATTTGTTAGCCTGAGAGCAGAAGCAAATGTAATGAGAGCAGCTCCAGGACCCAGCTGAATATGGATTCATATACTAGTACCATTTGACATCACTGTCAGTGTTACTAGTTGCTTACTGTGTTCTGGCCAAACCATATCTAAATAGACCCTGGTACAGTGGTTCTCAGACTTTAGTCTATATCAGAAGGTCCTGGGTTTCCTGTTTAAAACACACAGTCTTAGATCTGAGGTCCAGAAATCCTGATTCTGCAGCTTTGTGATGAAGCTCTGGAATTTGTATTTTATCATTTCTTCCCTCCCCTGCTGATTCTGATGCAAGTAGCCCAAGGAATACATTTTGAATGAAATTGATGTATTTTGCAAAACACTTTGATAGTATGGTCAGAGTAATTACTGACTGGTATGTCAGCAACATCATCATAAGAACTATGAGCTCCCTGGTGGAGTTGGAGGAAAGCCTCGAGTTTCCTTGCTCTCATACATGCCAGCTGTTTGCCTCTACCTGTCTTACTGGCTCCTGTTCAGGGCTTGAGCAAAGGAGAGCATTTGAAATTAATAATAATAACAAGAATAGCTAATATTTATTGAGTGTTTACTATTTGCCCAGTACTAAGTGCTTTTATTATATTAACTAATTTAATCCTTACAGCAATCCAATAGATGATTGGATTGAATGATTCCTATTTTACAAATGAAGAAACTGAGGCATTGCCCAAGCTTACACAGCCTGCTAAGGGGCAGAGCCAGGATATGAAGACAGGCAGACTGGCTCCAGAGCCCATGTGTTTAACCATTCTGCTAGCCTAACTGTGTATGTTTCAAAAGGATAATACTAGCTTTCTTTTCTTTGTGATTATATTTTTACTCACTGAGGTACAAAATTATTGTAAGGAGAAAAAAGGTTTTAAAAGTATAGGCCTTTATCAGTGGCTTACCTGATCAAGTTCAGTTTCCCTGAATAGTGTGTGATTACAGTAATACCTACTACAATGCTTTTATAATGCTTTCTGTGTTCCCTGCTTTATCATTGCCTTATTTAAGAGATGTGAAAACTGAGACATTAAGTAACTTTTCTAAGGTCACCGAGGAGTTGATGACAGCAGTGAAGGAGCCCAAGGAATTTCACCCCAAAATATTGCATCTTAGTATGTTGATTATTTTAAATTAAAGGTCCCTGCAAGTCAGCAGATGCTGGAAGAAGCTTTACTCTGATAGTCCTTTATCTACCTTAAGACTGGACCTGCCAAAGAAAACAGAATTGCCTTGCACTTCCTTCCAGAAATCTCATTATCTATCCCAGCAAAGAAGACTGAGGAATGTAACCACACTTGGACAAACTTTTTCACAAGATAATGTCTGCTTTTTCGGCTCATTCAAATTCCACAGAGAGTCATGTACAACTTAATTTCTGTCTCCCAGATCCATTCATTCTCCCTAATAATGATTTACTCACTTACTGTCTCTCTAAAGAATTGCCTACATTCCCCACCTCCCCCTCCCCTATGAGGAAGGGCATGTAAGCATCTGGACCTCATTAGATTATGGAGTAATCATACTCCTATGACTCTTACTCCCCTATGCATGTTAAATAAACTTTGTATACCATTTTCTCCTATCAATCTGCCTTTTGTCAGTTCATTTTCTGTGACCCTTCAGAGGGCAAAGGGGAAGCTTTCTCTCTTCAATCTTACAGCACCATAGGAAGACCTCTCCTTATCCCCCATGCTGCTCCCCCAATCCCTGCATGCTCCTCACTCAACTTCTTTACATACTGGCTTGATTTGAATAGCATAATATCTATAGCCTGAGAACAGCCAAGTATAGAGATTTTGTCATCCAAAAGACTACCAGGATGGCTAAATAGTAGAAAGGGAAGGCTTTGTTGGCAATATCAGTTTGCAATCCAGGAAGAGACACTCTCTGGTGTGTAGCAATGGTACTCTCTCTCTCTCTCTCTTTGAAGAAAGAAAGGGCAGGTTGGGTTTTAATGCCTCACAGGGTCCAGATTACACAATAGAGTCATACATATTCAGCAGGTTTGGGGGAAATGCTATACATATTTATGAGAGGAGTCAAGTGCATCCACAAGGGGTAAACATATATGTAACATACTCCCAT